GCTGTGAGGCATGGCAGGGGAGGTGCCCATCTTTACTTGATCTCCCAGTGCTGGCACTTGAAAGTTCCTGGGTGGTCATGGAGCACTCCTCTACCTGAACTGCGGAGACCAGACAAGATTGAGCTCATCTTTGTTCTGGATTCCAGTAGCCATTTTGAAAGAGAGAGGGGAGGGGTAGAGTGTGAGAGACAGGAGGGATGGAATGTGAAAGAGAAATAGGCAGGATGGAACATGTGTGCGAGAGAGACCATGGACAAGCCAGGCGAAGAGGAATCAGCCCTGGAGACAGGATGCAGCAAGGGAATGTTGGGAGGCTGCTGCCCTAGCCCAGTTCAGGCTGTAGGTTCCTGACCTTTGTTTCCTGCTCCCATCACCATAAGGGTTTGGAGATGGTTTTCAAAGGGATGCCTTGCTCAAGAAACATCCCAGCACACAGGGCAGGAGGAAAGTTCCTCAGAGCCCCAGGCTGTTCTAGAGAAAATAAACCCAGCTACCTTGGGCCTGGATGCTGTGTCAGCTGGCAACCTTGGCCTAGGGCTCTTGACTGGGATGTCCTTGCTGCTCTCTTCCCTCTTTTTCAACTCTTCTGCCCTCAGTGCCCACCCCCAAGACTTCCCTGACCCAGCTGTCTCTTCAGTTCAGCCTACCTGTGTCTCACTTGCCTTGGGCACCACCCATTTGAGTGGGGGCACTAAGTAACCCTGCTTTCCTGCCTTCCGCCTTTCCACCAGGCATCCCTAGTCAGGTTGGGGCCAGGGGAGTTCCACCTTATGCTTTCCGCTCAGGGGTAGTTCTGTGACTGTCCTTGTGTTCAGGGCTTTCTGGGGATACCCAGTGACCAGATGGATGGTCTCCATAGAACACTTGCCAAAGGTTGACAGCGCTGACCCCTGGGACTGACCTGTTTCTATAAATTTTCTGCTGTTTCTTCTGCACACCTCCCAGGTCTGGACATGCATCTCTACCAACAGGGGCTAACCCCAGCTGTACCCCTAGTACAAGGCCAGTCACCTTGATGGTCATTTATGAGATGCAGACAACCAAATGAGTTAGTTTGGCAGTCAGTACTACTGAGCTTAGAACTCAGGGTGGGGACAGCCCATGGCCCAGCCTCAGGAAGGCACTCCTAAACTCAAATTCTGGGGGCACATTACTGAAAGGGCCTCAAGTTTCTGTGAAGGGTGATGGAAACTTTTGGAAATGAACAGTAGGGAGTGCTGTGTACATAGGGAATGCCATTTACACCGCTGAATCATAAACATGGAAAATGGGTGAAATGGAACACTGAAACACCTCGTTTTATGGCACTTCACTTTATTGCATTTCCCCAAAACTTGAATCAGTGAAAGGTCTGTGGCCACCTGGTATTAAGCAATATTGGTACTATTTTCCCAATAGCCTGTGCTCAGTGTTTCGACCCATAGTGACTTTGTTGTAGGGTTTCGAAGGTGCAGCTGGTGGGTTTTAACTACTGACCTTGTGGTTTGCAGTCCAGTGCTGATCCTACAGCGCCACACCAGGAGTTCACTATATGCACTAAGTCACTAAAAGGTCTGTGACTTGCTTTATGGCGGTGGCCTGGAATCGTACCTTCAGTATCTCAGAGGTGTGCCTATAGCATTCCCATTTTGCAGGTGCAACTGAGGCTCAAGTGTGACCTAGGACCACTCTCCAGGTCACAGACAGCTCTATGGTGAAATCAGAGGTCTGGCTCTACAACCTGAATTCTTCCACTGGGCAAAAGCTAGATTTGCGGCCAGACCTATGTGTCCCTCACTTCTTGGCCCACTCCTTGATGGTCTTACCACCTTCCACTTTGCCCCCAAAGTTGTTACAGCAGTTGACTCCAAAGCCCCATTTCTTCATACTCAGCAGGACTTGCTGGGGCTGCAGAGGCAGCACCAGCATGTAGAGCCTGGTGCTTATCTATGAGAAGGTCCACCTGATAGCACATGGACAGGTTATGGACAGATAAGGGTGTGCTGCTGTGGAGGGTGGGAAGGAACTGCTTCCTGGAACACAGGTGGCAAGGCTACTGGCAATCCTTACACCCTTAGCATGGCAGGTGGCATGAGGACTGGGTGGAGGGAGAGGTGGGCCTGTTGGATTCTTACTCATAGTGACCTCATGTAACAAAGAACTGGCCCATAGAGTTTTCTTGTCTCTGATCTTTACAGCTTGTCAGCCCTTTCTTCCATTGGGTGGGTTTGAACTGCTAACCTTTCAGTTAGCAGCTGAGTGTTTAATCATTGTGCCACCAGGATTCTTTAGGAATAGGATGGCTCCACTTTCTTTCCTTCTTAAATATAAAGGACACATGACCCTTTCTGAGAGGCCTATTCCTATGTCCATCCCTAGGAAACCAAAGCCCACGCACACAAGCAGGAGTGCAGCCCAGCAGCCATGCCTGCCCGCTTGCAGTCAATACTGCGGTTCTCCTGTTGGGCTATGGCCATGGCTTCTTCAGGGCCCTGGAATATGACTCTGCCTCTGTATCAGCAGGCCCTGAGTCCCAGAAAATGCGTGGCTCAGAATGGACTGCATGTACCCCATGAGACTGGGCCTACCTCCATGACAGGCCTTGATATCCTGGCCTGGCACCTGGTTCCCACGAGGGCCTCTCCCTGCTCAGTCCAAAGAAAGGTGCTAAGGGCCGTACCCTTGCCTGGGTCTCTGCTGGAGGACCATGATGGGTTTCCCACCGATCGATCCCTCCCTCTCCAAGCCTTTTTGGTTTGGGGCCTGTGAAACTCCAGGCTCTTGTCGGGGATCACACCCAGATGGGGCTCAGGATTCAGTGCTGGGGCCCTCCTTGAAAGCTGTTGTTGTTGTTAGGTGCCACTGAGTTGGATCTGACTCATAGTGATCCCATGTACAAACGAAAGAAACACTGCCCAGTCCTGTGCCATCCTCACAACCTTTGCTATGTGTGCGCCTGTTGGTGGTGCCACTGTCAATCCATCTTGGAGAGGATCTTTCTCTTTTTCACTGACCCTCCATTTTACCAAGCCTGATGTCCTTCTCTCCAGAAACTGGTTCTTCCTGATCACATGTCCAAAGTACATGAGACCCAGTCTTGCCATTCTCACTTCTAAGGATTCTGGCTTTAATTCTTCCAAGACAAGACTTGTTTGTTCTTTTGACAGTCTACGGGACTTTGAATATACTTCACCAACACCATCATTCAAAGGCATCCATTCGTCTTTGGTCTTCTGATACTATGACTTGTTAAAGGGTCCTGGTGGAGGGGGAATGTCAAAGAGGAGAGTGGGTCTCCCTGGTACTGAGCTGCCTGCCATTTGGCCTGTGTCCTCTGTCCTGACACTTGTTAGAAATTAATCCCAATGTCGCATAAAAGACACTCGGTGAGACTATATTACTTTGGCAAAGCAAAAGTTACTCCTGCAAGAGGGTGCACGCGCATAGTCGTACATACAGGAACAGGCCAGCGAGCACACCAAGTGGGCAGTCCACTTGAGTTTTTAATCCCTGACATGAGTCTCAAGGCTGTGTCTCACCCCATTGGCTAGGGTTTTGACTGCACAATCTTTTCCCTTACCCAGTTGGTTAGTTCAAAATTTTAAGGCGCGCATTCCTACTTTAGGAAAAGAAAAAGACAGCGATCATAAATTCTTTACCCAATTCAGGAAGTAACCAAAGAAAAAGAGAGATCATTAAGTGTTTACTTCAGGAAATAAAAAAGGTTACCTGAATACAATAAACAGGATTATAATATATATATGTATATTATATATATGTAGCTCTGGTAGCGTAGTGGTTACGAATCGGGCTGCGAACCGCAAGGACAGAAGTTCGAAACTACCAGCTGCTATGGAACTCTGGTAGCGTAGTGGTTACGAATTGGGCTGTGAACTACAGGGTCAGCAGTTCGAAACTACCAGCTGCTCCACGGGAGAAAGTTGAGGCTTTCTGCTTCCGTAAAGATTTACAGCCTCGGAAACCCTGTTCAGGGTTACTATGGGTTGGAACTGACTTGACGGCACTTAACAACAATATATATATAAAATGAGATGGATCGGCCAGGTGGCATCATTGATGGCATCGAGTGTGGCGGCAATAGTGAGGTTGGCCCAGGATCGGACATTGTTTTGTTCTGCTGTGCATGGGGTCGCTATGAGTAGGTTCCTACTCGATGGCACCTGACTACAAGTTTCCCATAGTGAGGTTGGCCCAGGATCGGACATTGTTTTGTTCTGCTGTGCATGGGGTCGCTATGAGTAGGTTCCTACTCGATGGCACCTGACTCCAAGTTTCCCACACACTGACCTGCTCATTCCCCAAAGTCAGACTTCCTGAATAAGCTTTGATGAAGATGATTCTAGTGATGTCAGCAAGCACTGACAAGGGGACTTCAAAACGTTTGTGGGAAAATGGAACTAAAGATTAACAGAATCCTTCCACGAGTTTTATGAAGCCCCCTAGTATCAAACACAATATATCTGGTTGTGCAAATGTTAAGTGCCCAGTTGCTAAAGGTTAGTGGTTCAAACCCACCTAGCGGCTTGGCAGGAGAAAAGAACTGGCCACCAGCTTCCATAAAGACGACAGCAGAAAAAAAACTGTTTAACACTGTCACATGGGGTCCCTATCAACTGCAGGGCACACAACAATCCAACAGGCAGAGTCCCTAGATGTTCGCCTGCTAGCTGAAAGGTTGTTGGTTCTAGTTACCCAAAAGTACCTCGGAAGAAAGGGCGGGCCATCTACTTCTGAAAAAGCCACCACTGAAAACCCTATCACTTTCAGTTCTACTCTGTAACAAATGGGTTGCAATGAATCAGAGTCCGCTCTATGAAATCCAGTTGGTTGACTGGCGTATATTAGGCAGTGCGCTAACTCCTTCACAATTACCGCGTTTCATAGATTCAGCAAGTTTTGTGCGAGTCTCTTTAGAGGACACTGACGTTCCGAGAATGACTCGTCCAAGGTGCAAGCGCCAGCATGGCCATAATTATGTAAGTTGGGTTCCCTAATGTCAGGGCCCCGAGTCGCCTCCGAGGAGTTCGCCCGATTCGAGGGGTGAACGAGACCACGCCGCTACGAGACGTTCAGTCTTCCCACCACGTACACAGCAAGCGCTCCGAAAATAACAGCTTCCCTTACTTTACCGCTGCCTGTCTGTGCGCCGGAAGTAGTGCCGGAGGTGAGGCCGGACGTTTCCGGTTGTGGAGGCGCAGGCGCAAGCGCAGAGTCGGACTCGGAGCAGCGGCGCGGTGAGCGGTGGTCTTTGTGTAGTTCGTCGGCGTTTATGGAGCGCCTGCTGCACACCTGGGCCTGTATGCAGGGAGGAAGTAGCGGGTGAGAGTCGCTCTGAACTTGTGAGTTCCAATCCGATAAGTGGGTAAGGCTCCCGTAAAGATGACAGCCTTGGAAACCCACTGTAGGGCAGTTATACTCTTCTACGGTTGCGTAGTGGTTACGAATCCGGCTGCTAATCTTACGGTTGGCAGTTCGAAACTACCAGCTGTTACACGGGAGAAAGATGAGGCTTTCTGCTCCTTTAAAGATTTACGGCCTCGAAAACCCTGTACAGTGTCACTATGAGTCGGAATCTACTCCACGGTACTTAACAACAATAACAAACCCATTGATCGGCACGTAACAATGTCGCTGTGAGCCAGAATCGACTCGACAGCATACAACTAACCTAAAGATTGTCAGTTCGAATCCACTGAGGAGCGCCATGGGAGAAAGGCTTGGCGATCTGCACCTACAAAAATTGTCAGCTTAGGAAGCCCTGTGATTCTGCTCTGCTACATGGGGTTGTAATGAGTCTGAACCGACTTTATGGCAACCACGAACAGCAGCAATGGGTTTAGTGAGGGCTTTCTTTCATCAGAAAAATGGACCTAGAATTTGCTTCCTGGTTTTGTCTGAGAACTGTGAGCGGTGGTGCCTGACCATTGTGGGTGTTGTTGTTATGTGCCCTGGAGTCGGTTCCAACTCATAGTGACCCTGTACAGGATTGCCAAGGCTGTAAATCTTTACGGGAGCAGAAAGCCTCATCTTTCTCCCTTGAACAGCTGGTAGTTTCAAATTGCTGACCTTGCGGTTCGCAGCCCAATTTGTAACCAGAGCTCCTTGACCATTGTGGGTGGTCAACTGTTAAAAAGCTTAACTTGCTAAACTCTCCATCATACAACCCACAGATGTGGAGTCAATTCATAATCACATTACCCAATAGGACAGAGTCAAACTGCTTCATAGGGGTTCTGAGTCTGTGAAGCTTTATGGGAACAGAATGCCTCATCTTTTTCTTTTGGAGTAGCTGTTGGGTTTGAATTAGTAACCCACTGCATCCCCAGTACTTCTTTACTTATCAAAAGACACTTGGAAGTTGTCCTTCACCTATTCACTCTGGTAAAGTTCAATTGTATGAAGGAATTCCATGGGTCTGGCCTTGTAGCCAGGGTGGACACTCTCAAGAGCTGGAGAAAATGGATGCAGATGAGAAAAGAATATCGCTGGCATTACTGTTATCAGTGATGTCAATTCGTTTTGGTTGTTGAGGAGTTGATTCCAATTCATGGTGACCCCGTGTAGGGTTTTCAAGGCTATGGTATTTTTGGAAGCTGATTTCCAGGCCTGTCTTCCACGGCTTCTCTGAGTGAGTTTGAACTGCCAACCTTTTAGTTAGTCGTTAAGTAATGCCTGATGGTCAGTATGTTGGGTGAAATCTGGTTTTTATAAACCCCCGAGGGGAGAAAAAAGCTTCTGGACTGGAATGTACAATGCCTACTTTGTAGCTAGAAGCCTTGGTAAGTCCTCTCCCATCTTGGTGCCAGGACCCTCTGAGCTGCCTGTCCAGAGTGCTAACCTGCTTGGTTCTTTGTTCTTTAAACAGGCACTTGAAGCTGAGGTATGTGTCTCTTCAGGACCAGAGGTTCCACACTGCTGTGAGATGTCCCAGGAGCCGGACGGGCACCGAGCACCTGTGGCTAATGAGGCACTTGAAGGACCCATTTGTGAAGGCGGCAAAGATGGAGAGTTATCGGTGTCGGAGTGCCTTCAAGCTCCTGGAAGTTAACAAGAGGCACCAGATTCTGCGGCCGGGCCTCCGGGTTCTGGACTGTGGGGCAGCACCCGGGGCCTGGAGTCAGGTAGCCATACAGAGCGTCAACGCTATGGGCACAGGTGGGTCCAGTGAGCCATGTTCTGATGGCACATACTGCAGCATGAGATACAAGGTGCCAAGTGCAGTGCAAATGAGCATTACCTTAGTTCACACCTGATATTGTGTTGATGTCCAGTTGATTCCTATATGCAGAGTAGAACGGCTCCTTAGTTTTTTTAGGCTGTGACATTTTGAAAGCAGATTGCCTGGCTTGTCTCCCAAGGCACTTTCAGCTGGTAGTCCAGTATTTAACCATTTGCTCTACCAGGGACTGCATCCTTGGATATAACAATGTTTTTACTTTGGTGTACATCCTCCCTGAATTTGTTTGTACATTAAAAAAACCTAGGTGCCATCAAGTTGATTTTGACTCATGGCAATCCCATGTGTGTCAAAGTAGAACTATGCTCCATCAGGTTCTTTTGGAAGTAGTTCACCAGACCTTTCTTCTGAGGTACCTGTGAGTAGACTCAACCTTTTGGTGAGCAGCTGAATGTGTTTAACTGTTTGAACCATTTAGGCGCAACTCCTTTGGATATGTTGTTGGTAGGTACTGTCCAGTTAGTTTCAAATCATAGCGATCCTGTATGGGGATGCCGAGATTGTACATCTCCCGTGGAGTGGCTGGTGAGTTTGAACTGCTGACCTTGTGGTTAGTAGTCCAGTGCTTATCCTACAGTGCCACCAGCAATCCCTTTGTATCTATATCTATACGTACACACACCGAGTTTTGGTGTGGGGCGATGGGATAAAGCAAAGCATTGGACCGCAAGGTCGGTTTGAGCCACAATGTTGGCAGTTTAAGCTCACCAGCCACTCCTCGGAAACCCTGTACAGGTCCCTATGAGTTGGAACCGACTTGATGGCACTTAAGAACATATATATATTTTGTTATGTGCCGTCGAGTCGTTTCTGACCCATAGCGACCCTGTATACGGTTTCCAAGGCTGTAAATCTTTACGGGAACAGAAAGCGTCATCTTTCTCCTGCGGAGCAGCTGGTAGTTTTGAACAGCTGACCTTAATGTTCGCAGCCCGATTCGTAACCACTACGCTACCAGAGCGCTCTCTCTCCTCTCCTCTCCCTCCCTCTCTATATATGCTGGCATGGTAGAATCAGCGCTGGGTGGCTAACCTCATATCTGCTTCAGTAAAGTTACAGTCTTGGGAACCCTAGTGAACCATAGGTTCACTATGAATCGAAATAGACTTGATGACACTGGGTTTTGGTGGTACAGTGGTTAAGCGCTCAGCTGCTAACACAAGGGTTTGAACCCACCAGCTGTTCCCAGGGAGAAAGATGTAGCAGTGTTTTTGTACAGGTAACTGTATTGGAAACCCTCTGGGGCAGTTCTGCTGTCTTACAGAGTTGCTGTGGCAAAGACCAGCATCCAGGACCAGAAGCCTTTCAGAGTTGAGTGTGAAGCTTCAGGGGTACCCCGGGGTCACTGACTTGGGAAGGGAGCTTGTCTGCTCTGGGCCTGTTTCCTCAGGTGTGCTGTGAGTCCCACCCATTCATCACAGGCTGTTAGGTAGTAGGGAAAGGCTCAGTGCCCACATGTTTGTACAGAGCGTGCTCCTGGTCCTGACCATCTACCACATGACCATTTCATTGTGTTTTTCTGTGGACAGATCCCTGTGTAAACCCTGCACTCATGGTTTCTTCCCCAGATTCCAGCTTACCTGTTGGCTTCGTGCTTGGGGTTGATCTTCTTCACATCTCTCCCCTGGAAGGAGCGACTTTTCTCTGCCCAGCTGATGTGACTGACCCCAGCACCTTCCAGAGGCTTCGGGAACTGCTTCCGGGACACAGGGCGGACGTGATTCTGAGTGACATGGCTCCCAATGCCACTGGGATCCACAGCCTGGACCATGACAGGCTCATTGGCCTCTGCTGGTCCCTGCTAGACTTGGCACCGCTCATCTTGCCACCAGGGGGCACCTTCCTGTGTAAAACCTGGGCTGGAAGTCAAAGCCATCGCCTGCAGAAGCGGCTGGCACAGGAATTCCAGAGCACGAGAACTATAAAGCCCAGCGCCAGCAGGAAGGAATCATCTGAGTTATACCTATTGGCCACACAGTACCGCAGAGAACAAGGGCCTGTGGAGGAATGAGTCCTACCGCCCATTCTCTCCAACCCATGGTGTTTCCACACGTGGCTCAGGAGACCTGTGCTCCACAGGATTCTCACTGGTTGCTTTCTCCTCTGAGTGGACTCAAACCACCAGCCTTTCGGTGAATAACTGAGCACACTGACCAGGGGCTCCCTCATGGTTGTTATTAGTGCCGTTGAGTAGATTCTGATCCATAGTGACCCTGTATAGGGGTTCTCAGGAGCAGCTTGAACCGCCGACCTTGCAGTTCAAACGGCTTTGCAGTCTGGTGCATAAACCCACAGTGCCACGCCAGGACTCCTCATGAAGGATAGGTACTCTTAAATGGCAAACGTAGCAAAGAGTGACTGAGTGAGGTGGGAACTTTCTGTAAACCAACAATCAAAAATAGATGCAAACCAAAAACAGATGCGAAAACTATTCAATGGTCCTGGGCTAGGGTAAAAATCTGTCACCTGAGTCATAATTTGTGAAGAGGATGTTGTGAGAAACATGGGCTTCCTCACAGTGAATGTACTTGATGTGACTCTTCCCTCCAGGTGACTGGGTGGGTCCATGACAGTATGTTGCATGAGAGTCTAATGCGAGGATTGCTTAGTTTTGCTATCCCACTAGGTTTAAACTGAGCCATCTCAGAAGCAGGAAAAGATGATCCCAGAAAACCATCAGGAAAGAGCCGAGTGGCGCGTGTCTTTTGGATCCTGAGATCCCTGCACAGAGAGGTGGAGAGTGCATCTTGGAGAGAGAAAGAAGGGGTGCCCTGTGGGCATTTACACACAGAGTTAAAGAACTTTGTAACACTTTCCCGAGCAGGGCAGAGGCCAAGGGGCTGCCCGGCTGAGAGGTCCAGGATGAGAGAGGTGTGCTTCTGGAACAGCTGAGAAGCAGCGCTCCTGACTGAAGAACTGCTGGGTCCTGGGTTGCAACTGATCCTGAATTGTACCCTGTTCACTTCACATAACAAATCTCATCAGTGTGAGTGTTGTCAGTTCTGTGTGGCCACTGCAGCAGATTATTGAACGCAGCACAGAAGTAGAGTGCTGTGGGAGAGATGGTTGGAGGGTTGAGGCATGTCCGCTCTTTGCCTCCTAGGAATCGGCCTTGGGCTGATGTGGTTTGATTCTTTCTTCCTTGTGTAGCCAGAGTATTTTGAACATAGCCCCCATGTCACTTATGCAGAGGTCAAGAGACTGATGGAGGAAGAGAGAAAAATGAGCAAGGTACTGGGGCACTGAGATGCACCTGTGTGCAGCTCTCCCCTCATAGGCTGCACACCTGACAGGGAAGGAGGTTTACACCTGGCTCTACAGATAAAAATGCACAGGTACACGAGGTAATGTAGAAAAATGTGAAATGTCAACTTGGGGATCAATTCCCATCTCTCTGGTGGATAATCTGAAATTGCATCCATTCTTCCCGGAACAGTGGGGGAAGACGCTCAGTCTGAATGTATGCATGGGGTGGGTATGCTTTGGTATTCTGGATGGAATTGTGTCCCTCGAATCTCTGTATCCTAATTCCCAATATCCCTGGCACTGGAATAAAGTACTGGACCACAAGGTCAGTTTGAACCCACCAGCTGCTCCTTGGAAACCCTAATACAGGGCTATGAGTCGGAACCAACTTGACAGCACTTAACAACATATTTTGACTTATTAATAACCTGGGATATGCAGATGACACAACCTTGCTTCCTGGAAGTGAAGAGGACTTGAAGTTTTTACTGATGAAGAGCAAAGACTACAACTTTCAGTATGGATTATGCCTCAATATAAGGAACACATTGATTGTCACAAATGAATCATTAAATCAAACATCATGATAAACAGAGAAGATTGAAGTTGTCAAAAGCTTCATTTTGCCTGGATCCACAATTGATGCTCTTGGAACCAGCAATCAAAGAAGTTTTGCATTAGGCAAATCTGTTGCACAAGACCTTTTAAAAAGTGTTCAAGAACAAGGGTATCACTTTGAGAATTAAGGTGTACCTGACCCAAGCCATGCACGTGAAAGTTGGACAGTGAATAAGGAAGACTATGGAAGAATTGATGCATTTGAATTATGGTGGCAGCAAAGAATATTGGAAGTTACATGGACTGCCAGGATAAAAAACAAATCTGTGTTGTAAGAAGTATAACCAAAATGCTTCTTAGAAGTCAGGATGGTGAGATTTCATTCTCTTCTACTTCGGACATATGGTCAGGAGGGACCAGTACCTGGAGAAGGACATCATGGTTGGTAAAGTGATGAGTCAGTGAAAAAGAGGAAGACTTCAATCTTAAGGGTTGACCCAGTGTCTGCAACAATAGGCTCAAACATAACTGTGAAGATGACACTGAACTGCTGGGCAGTGTTTCGTTCTGTGGTGCACAGGGTTGCGATGAAGTCAGAATCAACTTGATGGCACCCAACAACATAACCTTGGTTATAGTCCTATTTGATAATGGGTAATTTTCATTGTGTTAATGATGCAGGATTAATGTAGGGTGTGTTTTGAATCAATCTTTGGAGAAATAAAAGAGATTAAACAAGGAGAGAAGCAGAGCTGGGGGAAGAGACATGGTAGGCCATATGGAGATGTCTAAGCATCCAAGAAGCAGAACCTGAGGAGACAAGGACCTTCCCCCAGAACCAACCTTAGAGCCTTCCTTTGCACCTAGCACACCTAGTTTGGACTTCTAGCATCCTAAACTCTGACGGAATAAATTTGTTTGTTAAAGCCATCCACTTGTGTTTCTGTGATAGCAGCACGAGAGAACTAAGACACTTGGCTTCTGCTGGAAATCTGTATTGCTGTAATCTGTAGGCTCAGACCATAAAGAAAACATATCAACATAGCCCATGAATGTGTACCAAAGCAAGCAGTAATGTAGTATGTTCGTATATTTATTTTGACTCTCCCAGGAACATGATGCAGCTCTATGAAAGAAATAGAATATATTGTGTTAAGGAATTTCCGTTATCTGGTTTTTAAAAAACAAGTTTCTGGGAGTGTGCTCATCTCTCAACAAGAGTTTACTGACTGTAGCAAGATGATATCCCAGGGACAATGGGGAGAAGAGATTCCCAGGCATCCCCTGAAGGAAGCTGCAAGCCAGGGTTTTAATTTTATTTTGGTTGCAGTCGGACATTAGAGAAGTCAGATGTCCTACCTCCGGCATCCCCTGATCCATAACCCATTTCATTTTGAGGTACACACACTTGGAGGTCTTGTCTCCTGTATATCCTACACAATCCCTTTGAATGTACTTTACAGCAAAGTCTGAAGAAGGAGAGGAAGAGATTTTACAAACAAGTGGGACACAAACTTGTCCTTGTAGAAGGGCTCTATGCTAAAGGATCCACAGACACACAAATAATGCGCTGTACATTCCAGCTCACAACGACCTTATAGGATAGAGTAGCCATAGTTTCCAAGGCAGTCAATCTTTACAAGAGCCGACTGTCCTGGCGTTCTCCTGAGGAGCGGCTGGTGGAATCAAAATGCCGACCCACTCCTGGAATTCAAGGAGAGTGGGATAACAGCTAGAAGTGAGCACTGAGCCGAGGGTCAGGTGCAGTCAGGGTATAGGGGGTTTGCTGGTGGCACTGTAGGATAAGCACTGAACCTATGGTCGTTTTGAATCACAAGGTTGGCCCTTCAAACACCAGTTGCTCCTCGAACCGACGGATGGCACTTAACATTACGTGTAAGGAGCCTTGGTGTGGCGCTGTAGGGTAAGCATTGGACTACTACCCGCAAGATTTGTGGTTCAAACCCATCAGCCGCTTCTCAGAGAATTCCTACACAGGGTTGCTATGAGTTGAACCGATTTGATGGCATTTAACAGGAGTCGGAATCGACTCGGCATTCAACAACAAATACCTGTAAGGACTTTAAGTCCCAGAAATGTTACATAGAGTCGCTAGGCGCGATCTTTGGTATTCCGAGCTAAGCCCCGGTCCAAGAAGAGGGGGATTAGAGAAGGCTCCCGCGCTCCAGGATCCAGAGCACACCTAGTCTGTATTTCCCATGCTGCCCACAGAAAAGAGAGATATTAATTCAATCAGAGATTCAAATACCATAGTAAAATCTTTGATAGAATCAAAACTGCAAAACAGTTTGGCCCTACCAGGCCACCGTTGGTGCCGCTACTCTACACAGTACGGTACAAGGCGCCGTGTCTCCGACGAAGCCCACCTTCTGATGGGAGTGGACAGCGGGGCCCCGGGCTCCTTTCTGTGTGGACTGCTCTAAGGGAGCCGGGTGGCTAGCGGTTCAAGACACCAGAGCACAGACCTCGCCGCGCGCGGAGGCGGCTCTTCCGGCGCGCTTCTCGTCTCATATCGCGAGAATCAATCGCACTTCTCGCGAGACGCGGACGCCGACTGAGGAGGGAGATCCGAGCGGCGGCAAAGGGCTGCGGTGGCCGAGGTGAGGCGGGAGCGCGGGTGCAGCGGGGCCGGCAGTCTCCTTGGGCCCCCCGCGCGACCCAGCCGACCCCCGTGCCTCATGCCTCGGGAGCCTGGTGTACCTTCGTCTTTGGGGTCCACATTGGCGGGACACTGTGCCCCATGACCCTCCTCCCAGTGACCCTGTATCCCGATCAACTCCCACCTGTGGGGTTCATCCTTCCAGGACCCCGCGCCCCAGGACTCCGGTCCCCCTGACCCTGCGCCTGTATCAACTCCCATCTGTGGGGTCTGTCCTTCCGGGATAGACCCCATGATCCCCCGCCTTGATCAACCCTCATCACAGGAGTCCACTGCTCTGGGTTACCGTACCTACCCCTGACTCTGCTCCCTGTCACCCCGTGTCTCAAACTATTCCCATCTGTGGGATGCAGCTGGCCAAGACTTTGATCTCTGTGACCTCGTACACCAATGTACGCCCTCTGTGAGGTCCATCTTGTCTGGACACCGCTCCCTGCCCCACAGGCTACTGCCTCTGTCCTGGCTTCCCTCTCCTCACCCCTCCCTTTTCCCATCAGTTCTTTCTCCACTTACCCCTGAGAACTAGCCCCAGCCTCAGCATCTCCAAGGCGACCTTACAGTTGCTCACTTCTACAAGGCCAAGTGTGGCAACAGGGGCAGATACTGCCGCAGGGAGGCTTTCTGGACTGAGTTGGAGGTAGTGGACTGGCCAGTAAAGAGAGCTGCTCTCCCCACCTCTTGCCTCCATCCCAGGACTGCATGGTGGGTGCACTGTGCCTGTGGACAGACAGGCCACACGGCTTTACCCCAGCAACCAGTGCTGTCAAGTTGACTGACCAGTGGGCCCCCACGTGTGTTCGAGTGCTGTTGTTAAGTGCTTTTGAGTCAGTTCTGAACTGTATCGGTTTTAGAGGAGTGGCTGGTGAACTTGAACCTCCTATTTGAATCTCAAACTGACTTTGCAGTCCAGAGCTTTAACCCACAGCGTCCCTTCAGGACTCCACCACCAGTCCTACAGACTGCACCAGTCAGAGTAGAACTGCAGATTTTCAATGGTTAGTTTTCTGGAAGTAGCTCGCCTGGTCTTCCAACACTCCTCTGGGTGGACTTGAACTTCCAACCTTTCTGTTCCCAGTTGAGCCTGTTAACTTTTCTGTGGTCCATGGCCTGCGGTTAATAGGAAGTCGTGTCTCACATGTTGTGTGATTGGGAGAACACAGTAAAAGTGGTGGCTGACTTGATATCAAGTTGCTGTGGAGTGGACGCCGACCCATGGTGGCCTCACGTGTGCAGAGGACAATTGTTCCCCATAGTGCCTTGTAGACAGTGACCTTTTGGATGCAGACCTGACCTGTCTGTCTTAGGCACCTCTGAATGGGTTTGAACTGCCCACTTTTCGGCTGATAGTTGGAGTGCTTAAGTATTTGCACTACTAGGGCCTCCTTCTGCCTGATGAGTGTGATGGTGGTGCTGTATGGAGGAGGTTGTCAGGTGGTGAGAGTCCTAGTCACTTCTGTAGGAGGGTACTTGTCAGTGAGATCTAGACTCAGCTCCTGGGTGCTGCTGGGAACACTTTCAGCTCAGGGGCCAGGTGGCTGGATGCTTCCAGTCTCTTGGACCAGAAGGATGGAGTTTTCCAGGTATTTGATGTACACGTTCTTTCTATTCTGGTGTATTTCATGTGTCATTTCCTCCAGAACTGGCCTTCCATGGTCTTACTTTGCCAAATGGACTGATTTGGGCTTCTCAGGAGCGCTCTGTTGTGCCCTTTGCACCTTTGTCTGTGAGGCTTTCAGCAGAGGGCTGGCTCATTCTGTTGTCTTCTCGGACTACTTTTGCTTCATGGTGTGGCTGAGAGGTGGGGATGGGGACAGCAACCACCTTTCACAGGGATGGATGTGATGGCCCCCAGGAGACAAGAAGCCCACTTGCTCAGGGCCCAAGTTCCTGTTGAAGGGGGAACTCAGAGTCAGGCCTCAGATTTGCCACTCTCTTTTTTGGGAGGTGTTTTTCAATCTAACACTTATGGGGAAGCAGAGAAGGCAGACTTACCCTAAGGGGCACATGGTGCTTATTGTAGGTGTTTATTCCTTCGCCTGCTGAGAGGCTACTGTTCATCCTCATCCCCACTGCACACTGGCTCATGGCCTTGCTTCAGAGACAAACACATCGGGTGCCAGTTTCAGCTCTGTAAGTTTTTTTTTTTTTTGGCTTTAACAAATTTATTCCTGAATTCAGGGCACCAGCTCCAGTGGAAGGTTTTCTCTCTGTCAGCTCTGGGAGAAGGTCCTTGTCTCCTTTCTATGTCTCTGGGCCCGCTGTTCCCTGGAGATCCGTGTGTCTTGGCATTCATCTTACCCTGAGTCTAGCACAGGGACCAGGTGCTGTCTAGTCAACACCTAAAAAATGTGCTGGGCTCCCTGCTCATCTTTCCGTCCCTGGTTGTGTAACTGTTGGAAGCTTCGATGTCATTCCTAGAATGTGTGTAAAAAGATGGAGTTTATCTACCTGTAGTAAAGATTGTGAAGTTCTGCATAAATCATGTTGGCCATGGTCTTCACAACAGCTTTGCCAAGTTGTTGTCATTATCTTTGATTTATAGTTGAGGGGTGTGAGGCTCCAGAAATGTGGGTGCTTAGTACATGCCTGATCCCTTTCTTTTTGGTGCTCAGTGGAAAAGAGCAGCAAGATTCACTAGTGTCATTGGTAATGCACGGCAGCAGCATGGCTGTGGTCCCCATCATCTGTGTCCTGGCCTTGGAGCAGGGACAGCACTCTAGCAGCCAGCTAGATCAGTGGCGGTTTGGTGGTGTGTTGTCTTTGTGTATGCTCTTCTTACACCTCCATTTCCTTTCTGGTAATGGGGGAACACAGCCTTCCTGTTAACTTCTTAAGAACTGGGTGTAGTGTTGGCAGTTTTAAGAGTCTGACAAGGGCTTTTGGAGCCCATAATGGATGCCAACAGGTAATGCACTCAGCTGCTAACTGAAGTTGCAGGTTCGACACCAGTGGTGCCTTGCAAGAAAGACCAGATGATCTGCTTTAAAAAAACCAGTCATTTGAAAACCCTGTAGGGCACAGTTGTACTCTGACATGCACAGGTTTGCTGTCATTTGGAGTCCACTCCATCCAGTTTTGTAAAGAGAGCAGTAGGAGAGTGGGACACCCCAGAGGCACCCCTTGAGCTTCCTGTGAGCCCTCTTGTGTCTCCTTCCAGAAGGACAGCAACGATGGAAGACCTGGGGGAGAACACCACAGTCCTGTCCTCCCTGCGGTCACTGAACAACTTCATTTCCCAGCGAGTGGAAGGTGGGCCTGCACTGGATGCGAGCACTTCGGTGACAGGCTCTCTGCAGATGCAGTACCAGCAGAGCATGCGGGTGAGGGTCCAGCGGGCAGGTGGGCCAGTGTCCTCTGGAAACCTTGGGGCTGTCTTGGCTGTCTTCGACATTCTGATCTGGTGTCCTGGTTTTGGGGATATGGCCCAATCTCCAACATGAGCATTTTAGTTTGGGAATAGAGGTGGGTCTCCAACATGGGCTTTCCTATTTGGGGAAATGGTCAGATCCCAGGATCTGTCCCTCAACGGGACTGAGGCTCTCTGCCCCCAACTCAGTCCTGCACACATGCTCCCAAGCTCACAAAGACTAGCCACTTTGTTCACGGAAGTGAGGAAGAAGATGTGCTGCCTAGGAGCATGGCCACGGGGTTCTCCAGGTAGCAGGTTATCCCCTAGGAAGGCCTGCCCCTTGGGATGGTTATGCTGTGACCACAGGCAACTTGGTCATTCTGGTGGGAGCATCAGGGCCGTGAGTGAAGAAGAGAGGGCACTTCATGGTCTCAGACTCATGGAGCATTTTCTGGTCTTTGCTGAAATTGGCAAGGGGTGACATTGGCCATTTGGCTCTGGTTATAACCTGATAATTTTGTATGGCTGATTCTTGAGCATGCTTGCTGCAGACGGGCTTCAGAGGCTGTAGGGTCAGGGACACCTGGGTCCAGACAAGAGGGCATGGTATGTCCTTCAGTCCTCCGTAGGCTTGTCTGCTGCCCTGAACTCCAGAGCCCCCCGGCTGCCCTGCTAATACAGCCTCAGGCACATTAACAGGTGGCTTCCTGTGGCCAATGATGAGGCCCGTGGCAGGGCTGTTTCACATTCCACATCCCTCATTGGCAGATGTTTAAATGCTTGACTACGCACCGAAAGGTTGATGGTTCAAACCTACCCAGAGGCATCTCAGAGAAAGGCCTGGTGATATGTTTCTGAAAGGTCACAGCCTGGAAAACCTGATGAGCAGTTTGCCTGTGATATGGCCAGGAGTTGGAGTCGGCTTGATGGCAGCTGGTTTCATGATTCGTTTGTTGGTTTTGCATTCACTGGCTGAGTGATTGGCTGACTGCTTGCTTGGTAGCCCTACTCAGCCAGGGATGCTCTTTATCCAGAGATTAGGCCTTTTGTACTTGTATTTTTAATTTAGGGGTTTAAACACGCTCTTACAAAATGGTGGTGACAATAGAGGATGAAAGTGACCCTTGTTCATAGGTGAAAGAAGCAGTTGTCAACTCAGGTCTAAAAGGCTGTAGGGTTTTATTGATGCAAATGCCTGGGAACTTCGGCCAGGCCCTACCTGTGAGGCCCAGCTCTGGATCACTGTGCGGTCCTGTCACGGCTTCCTCAGTTCCTGACTAAGCATCTGGGTGCTTTTTGTGGGGTGTATTAGCTCATGGGCCCAGTAGCTTGGAGGGCCTCAGTCCCTCTTGTCCACTTTTGAAGAGCAGGTGAGGGGACTGAGTACTGTAGGCCTAGAGGTCTGAGGCTAGTTTTGGCCTTTCTTGGTGGCCAGAACCTTCCTGTTTTGAGTTTCCGGTTTTTTTTAATTTTTTCAATTGATACATTTTTTATTGCAAGTTCTCAGTGTTTGATAATTTCGTGCTGTTACCCAAACCTCACTAAGTTCTAAAAGATCTGTTACTTCACCTCAAATGGACTGTGAAAAGCCCTTTGAACTGTTGCTGTTTTCGATGCACACAAGTGATGCCAGCGTACTATGAGGGTTCATAGTTAAAAAGATATCATTTATCACTGGATTTGGTTTGTATTCATTCCAGTTTTGCTGCTTGTTAGCTGCTTGCCTTTGGGAAAGTTACTTAGTATGGCTCAGACTCATAATCTGGAAACAATACCCACTTAGATTATTATTTCTTAAAATAAATGACACAATGTTACCTGGCCTATAAAACCCATTGCCATCAAGTTGGAAGGAGCAGAACTGCCCCCTAGGGTTCCTTCTCTTTTTCTTTTCTTTATGGTGGCTTGAGGGGTAGCTTACAGAGCAAATTAGTTTTCTATTCAACCCTTGTTGCACATTGTGTTTCATGACATTAACTGCAATCCCTGCTATGTAACAGCACCGTTTCCTGCTCCTCCCTGGCTTACATGTTGGTTTCCATTGTTTTCCTATTTTTGGCTTTAGCTTGAAGGTGTGCCCAGTTTGCTCTATCGCTCATCATCCAAAAAACCCACAAAAACCCCAAACCAAACGCACTGCCATCAAGCTGATTCTGACTCATGGTGACCCTGTATATGGTTTCTGAGACTGAAATCTCTACGTGAGCAGACAGTTTCATCTTTCTCTCATGGTACCGCTGGTGGTTTTGAATCGCAGACCTTGCAATTAGCAGCATAGTGCCTAATTCATAGTGCCACCAGGGCTCCTTTTCCCCATACAGGTGTTGCTTAGATGTAAGCATCATGTTTAGATGACGTTCCTTCAAATGGAATCACTGTTCCCACGTATCACGTGTATTTGTGGTCCTGATCCATTCACTGTGGGGTCCCCTCCTTGGATGTAGATAAGGCTGTAACAGGCCTGCTAAGCTTCTCACAAGGAGACTGGAAAGACAGAATGAGGACTCCTTCTATTGCTAGGTGGGGGTTGAGATCAGAGAAAATATGATAGGGTGAAAGAAGATGTGGACTGCACCCCTATCTTCGTTCTCTAGTGCTCCTATCACAGAAGTACCACAAGAGGGTGACTTTCCCAAAAAGAAAGTGATTCTTGAACAGTTTAGGAGGCTAGAAGTCTGAATTCAGGGCACCAGCTCCACGGAAGGCTCTCTCTTGTGTGTCTCCTTTCAGCATCTGTAGACCCTGCATTCCTGGGAGATCTCCATGTGTCTCCTTCTTCCCCTGGGTCTAGGAGGCTCTCAGTGCAGGACTTCCACTCCAAGTTCTTCTTTCTTGGTGGTACTGATATCTCTCTCTGCTTGCTTCTGTCTCCTTTGATCTCTTGTTAAGATACAAGGCAACACAGGCCACACCCCAGGGACACTCCCTTTATATCAGATCGGGGCTGTGACTTGAGTAAGGGGGTTTGTTGAATCCCACTCTAGTCTCCTCACGGCTGATTGTCATCATGGAAGACCATTACATGGTTATAGAACTGTCAAATCACTGGGAATCATGGCCTAGCCATGCTGATTCAGATTTTGGGGGATACATTTCAGTCTATGATACCCCTGGAATACAGCTGTGAGGAATGACGAAGATGCTTTTCAACTCCCAGCTTGCTGGTCCTGCCTGGCGTGTAGAGATTGTGGACAGGACTATCTGCGTGCTGTGGAGTATCCGTCAGCATCCCTAACTGCTGCTAGCCCCTTGGTGCCAATAGCACCCTCCCCCATTTGTCACATGGCAGAAAGTCTCCAGATCACCAAACCCACTGCCTTTGAGGTGACTCTGACTTGTAGTGATCCTGTAGGAATGGAGTAGAACTGCCCCATAGGATTTCCGAGACTCAGTCTTTGTTGGAGCAGAGAGCCTTATCTGTCTCCCTCAGCAGCTGATGAGTTTGAACCACCTGGACTGTGAAATGTGGTCAGGGGTCCCTGGAGGCAGCATTGGTTGGGCATTTAGCCTAGTTCTTTTCAAAACTGGAATTTGTGGATGAATCATCTGAGAGTGTTTTAAAGGGAGGTTCCAAGTGAGTCGGTCTGAGCATGGCCTGGGAGTCCACATTTTCTGAGGAGGGTCCAGGCTATGCAGGGGATGCAGCATGGCCATTTACACTTGGGAGATGGCCTTCTGGGCTTGAACCCACCCCTGTTCCCTACGCTTCTGTGGGAAGTGGAACTCTGAGGTGACTTCTGTGGGAAATTCTCAGCTCTGGTTGGTATACCTTCTTGAGCCTCATTTGGGGAGCTTTCTTGAGGGGAGCTGTTCTAATCCCATGGGCCCTTCACTTTGGGGCCAGCACTCAGTCAGAAAGGTCCCCAGGATTAGAAGCAGGGGAGGAACTCTGCAGAAGGGTGCTTCTCCCATGCTGAGATTGTTGGAGAGGATAGGCATGTGGGCAAGCTCTGGCTGGCAGGGGCCCTGGAACTTCTTGCCTGCACTCCAGTCTCAGTGCTGGGCTGCGGGGAGGGTGCTCAGTGGGTGAGGAGTGCAGGGACCCAGCCTCTGAGGTCCCCTCTTTTTGGTTCCCCTGCCCATCCAGTTGGAGGAGCGTGCGGAGCAGATCCGCTCCCAGTCGCACCTCATCCAGGTGGAGCGGGAGAAGGTGCAGATGGAGCTGAGCCACAAGAGGGCCCGTGTGGAACTGGAGCGGGCCGCCACCACCAGTGCCCGGAACTACGAGGTGGGTGTGGGCAGTCCTGCCCAGTGGAGGGGGCTATGGAGGGGTGATGGGACCAGACTGGGCCTAGCTCAGCTGGTCCGAAGTCTGTGGTGGAGAGAGCCTACTTCCAGGGGGCTGGCAAGAGCTGCAAGCTTCCTGTCCCTGGGGTTGAGGTTTTCCTGGACTCCGAGCACCACCAGCTTTCCCAGTGAGTGCAGCTGAGCTGTCAGGAATGCAGGTGCATCTCCCTTCTCCCTCCCCGCCTGTTCCTGAATGTGGCTGTTTGGCCCCTTCTGGCTGCACTTGACCTGGCTACACTTGCTGTCCGAGCCTTCTATGGCCACTATCACATACATGCCACAAGGGGTGGTTTTGAAAAGCAGAGTTTATTTCTCATAGTCTAGGAGCCCAAATTCAGGGCGTGGAGCCAGAGGAAGTGTCTTCTTTGTGTGTTCTAGCTCCTCATCCTCTTGTTATGTGCTGTCCAGTCAATTCTGACTATATAGGTTTCTGAGAGTGGCTGGTAGGTTTGAGCTGCCAACCTTGCAGTTACCAGTCCAGTGCTTATTCTACAGTACCCCACAAGGGCTCTTCCAACTTTTAGTAAAATGTCCTGTCCTGGTGTTCCTGAGAGTCTGGCATTCCTGGGGATCCATGTGTTCTCCAGGGTCCCTTGTCCTGGGATCTCTGAGGGTCCTGGTGTCCTGGAAGGTCCTTGATGCTCCAAGTCTTCATGTCCATGTGCTTTCGTTGAGCCTTGCGGTGGTCTGAGGCTGCAGGGGTGTGAGAAGCAAGGCTCTAGAAGGGGCTCCTCCAAGCCACTTGGCCCAGGCCTTCCATGTTAGGCCTGACTTGGGCTGCTGCCCTGTGGCTCCTGTGCTCCTGGGGGGAAGGCTGTGGACTTCTTGGTTGGAGTGAGAGTCCCAGTTTGGCCCTTCTCTTGCGGCCCATGAGGTGTGTGTCCTGGGACAGATGGCCTGTGCCCACCCTGCCACCCACCCCTCTCCTTTCCTCCCAACAGCGTGAGGTTGACCGCAACCAGGAGCTGCTGACACGTATCCGGCAGCTGCAGGAACGTGAGACCGAGGCTGAGGAGAAGATGAAGGAGCAGATGGAGCGCCACCATTCATGCCGACAGAGCCTGGACACCACCAGCAAGAAGCTTCGGGAGAAGGAAGACAGCCTGGCTGAGGCCAACGAGGTGAGCCCACCTATCCCCAGCGCTTCAGGTGGTGTCCCACAGGTGTCGGAGTCACAGTGGCCTACCCAATCAGTGCATCGAGCTCTTCTGAGGTCTGATGTTTAATGGTCATGTTAGCCGAGATTTATCAGTTTCAAATGCTTGGTTTTTCATGTACCTTCATGTACTGTTTGATCTCCCTCTCAGGAAACCTTATGCATGTCACCTTTGTGCTCTGGTGGAGTTAGTTTGTCTGGACCAAGCCCTAGGAGCTGGGGTGTGAGGTGCCCACATCCCCACCTTTGCGGCGTTGGCTTGGCTGCCAGTGGCTGTATGGTCCTTTAGTGTCCGTGGTGTCTGCTAGCTTCACACCAGCCTCACCTGTGTGGTGAATGTTGTTTTCCGGGTACGCGTGCTTTCTCAGAAGGTGTGAATAGGTGCATCCAGATTTGCATTTCTTTCTAGATCTACAAAGCCTATAGGAGTCATGGCAATGCAGTGCATAGGAGCTGCTGGCCTCACTGTCCCTGTACACTGAAGGCTGTGGGAGTTCCAGAGAAAGGGCTGCACACTGGCTCTACTGGGACCTGGACCTTGTGACTTTCCCTGTCCCCTCTGTGTGGCGCCCCAGATCACAGGTGCTGACAGGGAAGACGAAACTCAGCTGGGGGAGGGCTCGGGGACAGCGCATCATTGGTATTCCACCGCTGCATGCTCCTCTCTGCTTGATGGATCTTGGGAGGCAGCTCAGGGTTATTTTTGCCTCGGCGATGCTGTGGAGCATGTGAAGACTGTTCCACGTCTGCCTTGTGAAGTGGTGCTGGCAGGAGAGGCATGTGACGGCCGACTTCTGGAGGACTCTGCTCCTTCCTGGGTCTCTTCTGGGTCTGACCAGGCTGGGTGCCCTGCAGGATGGGGGCAGGATAGACGTGGCCTGGTGGCTCCATGAAAGCTGCCAAGTCTGCAGTGAGTTTAGTTAAAAGCAGGGCAGAATGGGACTTAGTGTGCTCCCCATGGACATGCTCTGTCTGTGAACAGCCCCCCACATGTCCTTGTGCCCAGGAGCTGGCTGGGGCCCAGGCAGTGTCTGCTGAGTGCAGTCAGATGTCTGAAGTACACCGTCCCATGCTCACTGTGGTTTCCGTGTCTCTGAGTTTTCCTGACCCCTAGTTGGGAGTCCTGGTGTGGCACTGCAGGATAATGCCCTGGAAACCAAAAGGTCAGTTTGAACTGCAAGGTCAACAGTTCAAACCTGCCAGCTGCTCCTCGGAAACCCTATATAGATTCTCTGTGAGTTGCAACCGACTTGATGACACTGAACACCAATGACAACAGTTAGGAAAAGCAGACATATGATTGCTCCATGGAGACAGCTGGAGCCCCAGTCCCACTACTAGAGGGGAAGGGCACAGTGGGGAGTGTTTTCATGGGCTGTTGCTTAGTGTACTTTGTGTGGATGGGTGAATGAGTGTCTTGGGCTTCTGACCCCAAGACTGAGACCACTGAGCACTGCTTGCTGTGGCCGCTCAGCCCCAACCTGCTACATACTCTCAATTTGTCATCTTCCATCCATCCTTGACAGTGTAACCCTGTCTTTCCTTCCTCCACATCCTCTCTGTGTAACATCCCTCCTTCCTGAACTCCTCTCTGTGTAAAATTCCTCCTTTCCTCACCCCCCTCTCTGTGTAACATCCTTCTTTCCAGGAACCATTCTCTGTGTAACATCCTTCCTTCCTGGACCCTCTCTCTGTGTAATGTCCTTCCTTCCTCACCCCTCTGTTTGTAACATTGTCCTTCAGAGCTGCTGGCTTGAACCCTTTTGTCCCAAAGTGGCTATCAGCTCTGCCAATGTGGGTGCTCTGACCCTGACCCCATTTCCTGTTTCTAGAGGGTTCCTTGCTCCTGTCTCTGGTAACAGTTTAGCAAATAACTAGTAGGGTGGTATGACAGATATGGGAAAGAGATATAGGCTGATAGAAGGCACATGTATGGGATGGAGACAGATGTGAGCAGAGCAGGGACAGGTGTCTGCAGAGCGGGGTATGGACAGAGTGAGGCAGACCTGGGAGGTATGTGGCAGCCCTGTGAAAGGGGCAGGGAGTAGGGGAGTAGGCTGAGTGCTACTCCTGGCTGGCATCCCTTTGTCTCTCAGGTAGTGGCTTTAGGATAGGGTTAAGGGAGGGACCTGCACCTCCTCATTCTGAAGGGGACAGACAGAGTCTCTGAGCCGCCCTCTGCCCTGTCTCCCTCTGTAGACCATCAACGTGCTGAAGGGCAGGATCTCAGAGCTGCAGTGGAATGCCATGAACCAGGAAATGCAGCTGAAGGGCCTGGAGTCTGAGAAACAGGAGCTGAGGGAGCAAGTGGACATGCAGCACAAGTCAGTGGGGACCTGGGCAGGGCTGCACAGTGCATGTGAGGCTCAGGCAGGACCCTGTGGTTTGCATCCTAATGAGGGAATGTCAGCAGATGTGTGTGATGTGACAGAGTGGGATAACTGTCCAGGGGCCCGAGTGTGTTTCCCATTGTAGGAGTGGCTGGTGGGGGCAAGGAGGGTGTGGTCGGGCAGCTAGGCAGGCTACAGGCTGCCATGCCATGAACATGAGGAGACAGGCCCTGGGACTGGTGGGAGAGAGCCCAGGGTTCTGGGTACTCCTGGGTGGGAGAGAGTGTGTGCGTATGTGCATGTATGGGTACGTGCTGTCTCTCCCTGTGTCCCTGTGTATCTGTGTGTCTGTACAAGGGACTGCAAAACATTTGAAAAAATTTCATTATTTTGTCAACGAACTTTGGAAGCTGCCTTGTTATGTACATGTGTATATCTGAGTGTGTCTGTATGTTTGTGTGGCTGTGTGCTTGTGGGGTCTTTGCATGGGTATGTGTACATGCAGGGAGTCCTGCTGTGGCACTGGAGGGTAAGCACTGGGTCACAAGGTCAGTTGGTGGTTCAAACCCACCAGCTGCTCCTTGGAAACCCTATACAGGGTTGCTATGAGTTGGAACCAACTTGATGGCATATAACAACATGTGCTTTCATGGTTCTTGCATATATGTGATTGTGCATGAGTGTATGTGTGTGTCTGCATGTCTTTATGTATGCCTGTGGATGTGTGTGATTGTGTGGAGGTGTAGCTTTGTAGGTCTGTGTGTCTGTATGTGTGTATCAGTGTGTGGGTAAGTGTGCAGCTATATGTGTCAGTATCTGTGTGTAGATGTACACATGCTAGACGGACTTGGGAGAGGGACTTCTATCTGTGTGTGTATGTTTGTGTGTCTGTATCTCTATCTCTGTATGCATGTGCGTGTGTCTTTGTGTGTCTTTATTGGTATGTACTCGTGTGTCTTTGTGTCTGTATCTGTGTGTTTGTGTCTGTGCCTATACATGTGTGTGTCTGTGCGTGTCTGTGTATCTGTGTGAGTGCACACGCTGCAGACCTTGGGGTGGCTGTATGCAGCTTCACTCATGCCTGCCCTATGCACACGGTCTGCTTTTCCCTCAGAAAGTGGCAGGAAGCGACTCAGAAGCTCCAGGAGCTGCAGGCGGGCCAGGAAGTGAGAGCAGAGCACGAACAGAAGATCAAGGTGAGGAGGCCTCCATCTGACCCAGTGTAGGTTCTGTGCATGTCACCGCAGGGTCGGCCTCCTGCAGTGCGGTGCCTGGTGGTGTGTGTGAGTGTGTGCATGAACAGGTCAGGGGACCTGGGGATGAGGGAGGGCTTGCTGGAGGGGGGCTTTGGGAGAAGCACGAGGAAGGTGTAGGACGAGTTCTGTTGACGCTCCTTTCTATCCGGTGGTCCAGGACTTGGAGCAGCAGCTGTGTCTGCAGGAGCAGGAGGCTGCTGTGGTGAAGAACATGAAGAAGGAGCTGGGGCGGCTCCCCAAGGTGGAGTGGGAACTGAAGCAGCTGCGGGAGGAGAACGCCCGCCTGCGGTGAGGGCTCCCTGGAGGCTGACGTGGGCATGGGCTCCTGGACTGGGAGCCCTGGGCGCAGCCTGTGGTGGGCAGTCTCTGCCTTCCTGGTCCTTGGCCCCTGTGCTGGCTGTGCTCATGGCTTGTGCAGCCCAGGCCTGACCTGTGGCTCTGAGTGAGTGACCAGTGTCTGACCTTCCCACAGGGAGATGCAGGAGACCAGCGGGCGGCTGCAGGAGGAGCTGGAGGGGCTGCATAGGCGGCTGGGGCGTCAGGAGAAACTGCAGGAGGAGCTGGTCAGCTTGGAGCTGGAGAAGGAGGTGAGGCTCCACGGGGAGCTGCTGCGGGCCGTCCTTTCTCTGGGGGAGCCTGGAATGGTCCTTGTCAGAATATTGAGCTGGTCACCTCACATGTGAAAGCCACATTGGGGGCGGCAGAATAATATCCAAGATGCCCTTGTCCCTATTCCCAGAGTCTGTATACATGTCATATCACCTGGCAGAGGGCCCACTGATCCTGGTTGATCAGATGGGTCTCATCACAGGACCCTCCAAATTGCAGAGGGAGGTAAGAGAAGCACTCATGTGCCATTGATGGCTGTGAAGATGGAGGACTGTGAGCTAGGACTGCTTCTAGTAGATTAGAAGGGACAGAGCCAAGTGTGCAAGAGCTCCTGGGTGGCAGGGATGGCACCATGGTAGGATAGCTGCCCCCAGGGCAGAGCACCTCCATCTACTGTGGTTGATGTAGGTATGTAGCCCAGAGTCACTCCAGAGGCCAGCAGTGTTTCTTCAGGAGATAGTTCTGGCTGACTGGCATGGGATGGGATATCTAGGCCCTGTAGTCTAGCTGAATGGATATGGAAAATTCTCCATCACATTGTGCAGTGAGGGGGGACTTTGCAGTGAGGGGTGACAGTGTGCAGCTAGAGGGTTAGAGCAGTTGTGGGATGTATAGGAAGGGTTCTGGAGACCTTGGCATGTCCTTACTGGCATGGTCACTTTGTCTTTGCAGAAGCTGCTGGGAAAGCTGCAGAGCTGGGAGCGGCTGGACCAGGCCATGGGTCTGCACCTCAGGTAGGCAGAGGGCTGGGCTTTCCATGTTCCATTCTCTCTGAGACACAGCCGTGTCCCTAAATCTCTCCTGTTAAATTCCTCCTCCGATTGCTGGTGGGGAGCATTTGCTGCCGCCGCTCAGGGTCAATAAATGGCTTTCACAGAGCAGGGGAGGTGGAGCTAAGTGGCTCTCCCCACCATAGCCCTAATGGTGTCTTCATTTAGAGTCCAAATACCTGCAGCTTCACGGTGCCGGCTCTTTTCTGGTTCTGCTGGGGAGGCAGTTGCTTTATGAGAAAGGTGTTCCTTTTAGGCGATTTTCACATGTGGAGATGAACTGAGGGTTTTTAGCATAATGGAGAGTGATTGTCTCAGTCTGCCTCCTCAGCTAGTCATCGTTCTGCTAACTGCAGTTAGTGTTGAGGGCTGGCCACTTTGTTCCCTGGTCTGTAGCCAGGTGCCACATGGGCACTGTTCCAGGTCCCTGTGGTCTGGCCCATCTCAGCTGAGGACCAGGGCCACTGTTCATCTGTCTCCAGCGGTGCTTTGCTGCTGCTTTGCTGACTGCATGGCCCTGTGTCTGGGGAGGTTGAGGCTGATGGATCTGCAGTTGTCATACTGCCTATTGCTCATGAGATCCGAGTCCTGCTGCTCCCTGAGATGGACCCTGTCTCTCAGAGCCACCTATCATCACTCTGGCAGGCATATGGACATACCTGTGAAGTTCCCTATGCCCTGATGTGTTGCAGAGGTGTGACACATGAAACCAGGCCAGCTGGCCCAGTAGGCCTGATGCTCGTCGAATCCTCTGATCCCCTGGGCTCATTAACTCCCTGGAACATGGGCCTTCTGGCCCTATGGACACCTTAGTTTCATCAGCAAGCTCCGCAACTACTTTCTCGTGAGGGAGCTCTGAACCCTGTCAAGAACCCAGATGGGCCAGTGCTGCTTCTAGCAAAGGGGCACCAGACCTTGTGGCTGGAGGAGAGCGTGCACTGCTCCTGAGCCTCGGTGGCTCCACCTCCAGTCTCCAGGGCTATGCCTCTAGCTCTGCTGGATTGGGGAGCAGAGGTTGCCGCCTGTGTTAGCCAGCAGCCTTGGTACCTGGGACCTGGCAGAGTCATACGTGGCCATGTGTCTTGCTGTGTGCTTGTGGATCCTTCCTTTGGTGGCTCAGTGTGGGATGAGGGAGAGAAGGAGACGGGTCCAGGGGTCTGACAGGGTTGCTGAGTGTGTCCCTTGCCGGCTTAGGGTTGGGTGGGAGAGGAGAGTCTTCACCCAGGAGGTGGGGTCTGGGCCCTGGGACTAGAACTAGGGCTGGGGCAGAGCATGACCCTTCCTGCCATGCTCCTGCCCTGCATGCAGGTGAACCTGTCCTGCATCACAGATTCTCTGTTGGCAGAGGCAGAGCTGTTGGTGACTGGAGCCCCTGCATTCCTGGGGCTCCCTGGAGGGTGGGGTCTCCTTCATGCCTTTCTCTGCTGAGCCCAGGCCTCTTGGGCTGCTCTGGGTGCCTGGTGTTGGGGACCCTCAGTTCCCTCCTGTTGGATTTCCTGGTGGCCTCTCCTGCCCGTCTTTCCCAGGGCTGGTGCACCTCTGTCACAGAGCATCTACTGGCACGCAGGCTCAGACTCACCTAGAGAGTATGGGAATTGCAGATTCCAGGGATGCAGCCCCGAACCGCCCAGGCAGTATCTCTAAGGGCTGGCCTGAGAATTGGGGTGACCTGGGTGAGGGTTGGGCCTGCTGTTCTGGTTTGTTGGCTGGGTGTGGGATATGGACAGGGACTTGGTGATGGTCGGGATAGGGAGAGGTGCTATAGGAAGCTGTGAAGGGTGGGCTCCTTACTGTGGCCTGGGGCCTCTGTAGGAGGGGCATGAATGGGCTGGACATGCTGGAGAAATGGGCACACTGCAGGGGCCCTGCTGATCAGTGTGGGGGTGTTTTTAATGAGGCCACCAAAGAGTGGCTATCAGGGTTGCTGGGCGCGGGTCTGCTCCCACATGATCACGAGGAGAGGTGCTTAGGGCTGTCAAGGTAGTGATGGGTTCATATCAGACTCAGTGAAGCTGTCATATGGGTCTTGGGTGCCCGGCCTCATTTCTGTGCTTCAGTTTCCTTACACTTTGTCTTTGCTTCATGGAGTCGTGAATCTCTGGGATTCTGATGGAGACTTTGCCTGGATAATGCTATCATTTCAGGGCCTACTGTTTGGGCCCATACCGACCTCTACCTATGATATCCGGTGCTGCCACTAGGTGGCGTATATCCCTCTGTGATCCTGGCGGCTGCTGGGGGCTGTGGACACTCCCTCAGCTTCCCCTGACCTCTGTACAACATGCGTCCTCACCAAATATGGCTTTCTGCTGGGCAGGAAGTGAGGCCTCTTGTCCACAGGACCACCTGCCTCTGTGCTGACCATTCTGCATGCTCTGTGATTGCCCTGCTCTTGACCAGCCTTCAGCCCTCAGGTCTGCAGGTGCTGCTCTTCAGGCCAAGTGGTACCTGCCAGGCTCTCTGCAGGGGCTGTGGCTTCTCTCACCCTCAGAGGGGTCTGTGGCTGAGCTGGCATGATGGTTCTCTGCTCCTTGCATTGTGGTTTCTTGTATCAAAAGCAGAAAAACTAGGCTGGGCCTGTTGGTATGTACCTGGAGGAGCCCCTTTGAGGAGAGGTTGAGGAGGAGGGCTGGTATGGCGAGGTGGCTTCCACACCCCATCCCAGCTGAGGACAGAGCTCAGCTCATGGCTGAACTGTGGAGATCACTGCTCCTGAAATTTTCTGAGTCTCCTGGGGATCTGGGGGATGCTGCATGGGATCCTGTCCCCAGAACACTGGCTGCCTTGTGACAACATCTGGATCTGCTGGTGGTTGTTATGTCTCCAGCCCTAGGTCCTATGTACTCTGGCGAGTAGTGTGGGCAGGGTCCCTGTGAGACCTGCAGGGCAGCACTGGGGGGCTGAGGGCCCCTGCTCTGACCTTTGGAATCGACAGGTGATTTCCTCTGCTGTCCTGTTGGCGGCACTTGATCAGATCTACCCACCAGGAGCCTGTGCACACCTGGTCCTGTGCCCGACTGCATCTCATGGGAGGACTGCTATGTGGACTGGGGAGGGCACTGAGGCTGTGTGTGTATGGGGGGGCGGGGATGCACTGGGGGAGAGGCCACATGATCACCGACATGGGACAGCCTCATCCTATAGGACTCCAGAGTGGACTGTGAACCTGGCCGCAGGAACCATGACATGGTTTAGAACTTGGTCTGTCTGGAGGGATGCTTTTATCTGAAAGTGGAAGACTGAGAAGAAAAGCAGCTGAGAGAGGCTTCTTGGAAAAGGTGGAGCTAAGGGAGTTGATCCCAGGAAGGCAAGGACGGCTCATTTTTGGAAGCCCATTCACGTAGCGCACCATCTTCATAGGATAAAAGAGAAGAAAGCCCATGTGATCCTCTTAACAGACGCAAAGAGGCATTTGAAAAAATACATTCACCCAGTTGTGATGGAAACTCTTGCTCTCCTCCTAATGCAGGGGAAAAGGTGGTCCCACCACATGTGTTTAGTGCTGTACTACATTGTCCCTGCCAGCATAGTGAAGAAAGAAAAAGCAGCGAAGGGCATGCAGGCTGGAACAGAGAAGCCACTGCCTCTGTGTGTAGGTGACACAGTTGTCCACGTAGGAAATCCCAAGGAATCTCTCCAAAGCTGCTGGAACTAGTGCATATTGTGTTTAGTGGCGTCCAGGGCTGCAGAGCAATACACAAAAAGTGGAACTGCCATGCCATTAAGGAATGGCTGCACAGATCATAGAAAACAACTCCAAAGTGTGAAATACTTGGTGATGGATTTAACAAAACATGTGCAACATCAAAAACTCTTTTAAGATGTTGATGAGAGAAATTTAAGATCACCGAAATAAATGGAGGAGCCTTGGTGGCACAGTAGGTTAGGTGTCAGGCTGCTAACTGCAAGGTCAGTGGTTCAAACCCATGAAGTATTCCACAGAAAAAAGATGTGGCAGCCTGCTTTCATAAAGATGACAGTCTGGAAAACCCTGTAGAGCAGTTTCACTCTGTCCTGTAGAGGTCGCTATGAGTTGAAACAGCTTGTTGGCCGTGGGCGTGGGTTTTTGGTCAATAAATGAAGAGACAATCTGTACTTGTGGATCAGATCAGAAGGCTCTGTGGTTACGATGTCAGTTTACTCAACTTAATTTTGATCAGAGTCTCATAGCCTGTTTTTTGTAGAAATTGACAAGCTGATGCCAGTTTTTATAGAAATGCAGGGCACAGTGTTGAAAAAGAACCAAATTAAAGATTTATCGTGGTCAATATCAAGACATGCTAGAAACTGTATTACTGAATAGATATGGCTAATAGGACTGCCAAATAAATCCAGGATGGAGAGTCCAGAAAGAGCCCAGGTACAGGGCTAGTTGCTTTCATCAAAAGTCCCAAGGCCACTCAGTGGATGTTGTTGTTGTTGGTGTTAAAGGCCATCGAGTCGTGGATACTAGACCCAAATACAAAAGCTGGAGCTCCTGGAAGTTTGGGTGTGGCCAAGATTTATTTTTATTATATCATGGGTCAGCAAACTTATTTCTTAGAATAAATAGTAATTATTTTAGGCTTTCTTATAAGCCATTTCATCTTTATGTTTAAAAAATTTTATTCTAAATTGGGTGAAGGTTGTCAGAGCAGATCATCAGTTTTCCATTCAACAATTCATAACTGTTTTGTTTCATCTCATTGATTGCTTTCCCCATAAAGTAACACCATGCACCCACTTCCTCCCTGAGTTTCCTATTTCCAGTCCTCATTTCCTAACACTTTAAAATTTTGCGCTGGAGTCAATGCTGCCCTTTTGATCTCAAATGGTTGATTATTCTAAGGAGTGCCTACCTCCCTAGAGTTATTGTTTTTCTTCTAAAACCAAACCCATTGTCATTGAGTTGATTCCAACTCCTATGACCTCGTATAGGGTTTCTGAGGCTATAACTCTTCTTTTTTTTTTTAATGTTTTATTGT